CAGGGACCCTTGGAGGTGACCCCGAGGAGAGGTTTTAAGTTTGATTAAGTCCTAATAGCTTGAGTTTTTAAGGCCCTTACACCAACAAGTACTTTACCTCCCCAAGGTTCTTGCACTTGAAGTTCTCCATCAGTTGCTGCTGCACTTTCTGGATCTCCTTCATGCTGCTGCTGAAGAGAAGAATGTCATCCACGTAGACCAGAAACAGCACCAGCTTCTCCCCCTCGCCCTTGAGAAAGAGGCTCAAGAATAGCATCATAATCAAGATCAAAGATCGCAACACCCGCCCTAGACAGCTCGCCCCAGCGAGGGATCTCAGTAGCGTCGGGGAACTGGTGACGCCACGCGTCCGTCAGACGGCCGAAGCAGCGCTGGGTGGAGTGCGCTCCCCCACACTGCTCACCCGCGCGGTCGCCGGTACGGAGAACGTAGGTACAGGGGCCAGCACCCCCGCCCCGCTGACGAGCAGTGTACCACTCACGAAGCTGCTGGGGGGAAGGGGTCTCACGAGTACGCTGCTGCTGCTGCTGCTGGCGCGTACCACCACCGGAGCCGACCCTCTGCGTAGAGCCGCCCCGACCCGCTCCACCTCCGCCGCCGCTACCTCCACCACCGCCTCCTCCTCCGCCGCCACTGCCTCCACTAGTGCCCCCACTCCCACCACCACTCCCACCGCCACTCCCACCGCCAACCCCACTCCCTCCGCCTCCTCCACTGCCGCCTCCACCGCCTCCGCCAGCTCCCCCAACGCCCTTGCCCCCCTTGCCCTTGCCTGGGCGGCGTCTCCCGCTAGAGGTAAACGCCGCAGCGACCGACTCAAGACCAACAAGGTCGACCGCAGCAGCAGAGGCAACAGAGGGCAAGAGGGGGGAGGGGGAGCACCCCTCAAAGACAGGGGTACGAGGGTCACCACGAGAGGCTCCTACAGCAACTATGCTCTTCTCTGCTGCTAGGAGACGCTCCTCGAGGAGGTCAACGGTGAGAGTGGTGGGGCAAACAGAGAGAAAGTGGTCCCTGACCGAGCGAAGGGTGTCAGGGAGCCGGGTGACTATGTAGTAGAGGGTGATGTACATGGGGGGGGGGGTTCTTGGCGCAGATCTCAGCAGGAAACGCAGCGCGGTAGCGGATGTCACTAGTGCGAAGGTGCGTAACGAGGTTTGCGACAGTGGGAAAAGCGGCGAGGTCAGGGAAGAGGTACGGCAGTATGAGGCGGCTAAGCGCAGCAGTGGCAGGGGAAGAGTAGCGTGCAACTACAGCGTCGTACAAGGTCTTAGCACTCTTGTACTGACTAAAGTGCGCACGCTCAGCGGTCGGCAAGTGGCGGCGCACAGCAAGGCGGGCAGCAGCATCGCGCGTGGCCCACTGTGAGCGAACAGTGGCGTCAGCATCAGCAGCAGGGGAAGGAGAGGCACCAGAAGTGAGGTCAAAGAGGGAGAGACCGTCTGCCCTATCGCACTGTAGGAAAAGCTGCAGATCATCGAGCCAGACCTCAAAGTCAACAGCCCGACCCTCAGCATCAAAGGTGAGAACACTGGGGGTGGCCATGACAGCAGTAGACGAGCAGTGAGAGCAGCAGGCTAAGGGCAGTGCAGTGGCAGAGGCGCTGCTCTTACCGGGCAGGCGAGAAGGGCCGAGGCTCGCCGGGAGGGACAGGGCCGCGACTGCAGGGACGGCGGCAGCTCGGCTGCAGCGGCTGAGGCAACGGCGGCAACAGCGGCTCAGCGGCAACAGCGGCTCGGCGGCTCAGCGGCTCGGCAGCTCGGCGGCTCGGCGGCTCAACGGCTCGGATGCTCGGCGGCTCGGCGGCTCGGTGGCAACGGCAGCAACGGCGGCTCGGCGCCTCGGCGGTTGGCAGCTCGGCGGCTCGGCGGTCTCGGGGCTGTGAGGGGTGGCGGCGGGGCCGCAGCGGGGCGGCGGCGAGGCTGCGGTAGGGCAGCGTCGGGCCGCAGTAGGGCAACGTCGAGGCCTCGAAGGGCGGCAGAGCCGCTGAAGGGCGGCGGCGTGGCCGCAAGGGGCGGCGACGGGGCCGCAAGGGGCGGCGACGAGGCCGCGAAGGGGCGGCGACGGGGCCGCAAGGGGCGGCGACGGGGCCGCAAGGGGCGGCGACGGGGCCGCAAGGGGCGGCGACGAGGCCGCGAAGGGGCGGCGACGGGGCCGTAAGGGGCGGCGACAGGGCCGCAAGGGGCGGCGACGGGGCCGTGAAGGGGCGGTGACGGGGCCGTAAGGGGCGGCGACGGGGCCGCGGAAGGGCGGCGACACGGCCGCAAGGGGCGGCAACGGGGCCGCGAAGGGCGACGGGGCCGTTAAGGGCGGCGACGGGGCCGCGAAGGTGGGGCGACGGGGCCGCTAAGGGCGGCGAAGGGGTCGCGTAAGGCAGCGTGAGGAGGGCGCGACGGGCCGCGTAAGGGCAGCACACCGAGCGCGCCTCGGGCAGGGGCGACGCGCGCCCCGGGCAGAAAGAAAAGATCGATTTGGGGGGCCCTAGGAAAAGTTCCCACTAGGGAACCTGCTCTGAAACCATGTGAAAATTAGAATGAGGAATGATGTGTGACTAACAAGAATGGGAGTATAAATATGAAACCCTAGAGTTGTGTACCCCCTAAGGCTAAACCCACTGTAGCCTACAAAGCTACAACATGCATAATGTTTGACAGTCTTGTCCTCATACACCAACACAAAGTGGTTCAACCAGTTAACTAGAACGCTTTCGCAAATTACATCATTGTTATAAGTCTTATTTTGAAAACGATCCTAAGGGCTTTTCTCAGCCCAACATGGTAGTATGAGAGTTAGCAAGACAAGATTCGACTCTTTCCTGTCAGAATCTAACAGGAAAGAATGGATGATTTGAGCAGAAATGAGGTGCAAATACGGTATGCTTAACCCTAATTGGGTTGTACCCTTTATGGGCTACCCCACTATAGCCTACACAATCTATTTGGACACACCCCTAAAAGCAAAATAGGGGATAAACAGGCGGTCACAAGACCAGTCAAGAGAAACAAAGCAAGCTCAGGGTGGATCACGAAGTCACCACACATTCTAAGCACAAGCGAAGGGCCGCAAAGCCAGTTTACATGCAGAGTTATATAAAACACGGCAAGTAGTACAGTGATCACAACCTAGCAAGTGTAAGTATACAAGGACATATATAGATCACAATACAAACAAAGCCAAGAAGTGAGCAAGCGAGAGCAGTACAGAAACGCTGATGATCACCAGGCGAAAGTGCCTTGGTGAAGATATCAGCTGTGTTGGCCCGAGTGGCCACGTAAGCTAGACGAAGCTGGCCACGCTGCTGTAGCTCTCGAGCAAGAAAGTAACGCAGAGCGATGTGCTTCGTTCTATGCTCCAGTCTGTGCTCCTGACACAAGGCAATAGCGACCCTGTTGTCGACATACAGAACTGGAGGAGAACTAGGCCGCTCTCCCAAGTCGGTCAGCAAGTAGGTGAGCCAGCGTAACTCCTGTACAGCCATGGCTCCTGCGTAAATCTCAGCCTCACAACTGAAGCTGAGAACAGAAGACGAGCGGATAGACCGCCAAGAAACAGAGCCGGAACCAAGGCTGAAGGTGTAACCCTGTGATGACCGCTGCGTAGCCAGGTCGTCAACCCAAGAGGCGTCTGAGTGTCCAGTGAGGACAACGTCACCCCGTCCTCCAAGCACCAGCCCCATGCTCGATGTACTGCACAAGTAGCGCAGCACCCTCTTAGCAGCCTCCCAGTGCTCTCGCCGGTGTCTCCCAGCGCGACGTAGCGAGCCAAGATGCTAAGAGGGTATGCAAGGTCAGGTCGAGTGCAGGTCATTAGGTACATGAGGCAGCACCTCATGAGGCAGCACAAGCTCTGGATACAGACCACTCGGCTCTACGGACTCGTCCGAAGGTGGAGCTGAGAGCGAGTGACCGGTAGGCAGAGGACTGGACTGTGGCGAGGAGAACTGGAAGCCGAAGCGCTGAAGGACCTGCAGCACCATGTGTGACTGAGTCAGGGTGATGGTGCGCCGTGCTCTGTCCCGGGTGATCTGCAGGCCAAGGTAGCTGCGCAGCTCACCCAGGTCTGTGCACGTGTGCCTCTTCTGCAGCTCCGACTTCACAAGAGCGAGTGCCTCAGTGTCAGCAGTGGCAAAAACCAAGTCGTCGACGTACACGAGGATGTAGAACGGCGGCAGCAAAGTGTCGGTGCGTAGAAGGAGCAAACCCAAGAGGTGCAAGAGACGTCTTCAGTGTGTCGTGCCACTCATGAGGCGCCTGGCGGAGACCGTAGACTGGCCGCCTGAGGCTCCACTGGGTACCAGGAGGGAATGACCCAGTGAAGCCAGGTGGGCGGCGCAACCAGATCTCCTCGTGCAGGCTGCCCTGTAAAAATGCTGTGCTGAAGTCATGCGAGTGAAGCTCGTAGTCACGCTGAGCGGCAACGTGCAGCAGCACCCGAAGAGTGGTCATCTTCGGGGTAGGAGAGAAGGTCTGGAAGAAGTCAACTCCCTGTCGCTGACTGAAGCCTCGAGCAACGTACCGAGCCTTGTAGAGGGGCGGAGAACCCGGCAGCCGCTTCACCCTGAAAATCCACATGCCATCGACAATGTTCGCCCCAGGAGGGGGAACCTCGTCGATGTAGGTGCCTGTGGACTTCCAGGATGCCATCTCTACGTCCATGGCTGTCTGCCACTGAGAGGAGTAGGGACCCGTGATCGCCTCTGCGTAAGAGCGCGGGGTCGGGATGTCCAGTGCATCCGGGTCTCCCTTAGGTGCAAGTAGCATGGCCACGAGATGAGGTACAGCAGCCGCAAGACACTCAAAGTCCTCCTGCCTGTCCTCAAGGATGTCCGTGCCAAGAGCACACTCAACCCCGACGGACGGAGGACAGACAGACTCAGACTCAGCAACAAGACTAGTGGCGTAGTCGAGACGACACGCAGCAGCAAAGTCCACAAGCTCAGCAACTAAGGCAGACGCAGCAGTAGACTCAAACGACGGGTCAGTAACGACAGTAGCGAGGAGATGCGTGATAGTGGGACTAGCAGCACGAACCAAGTCAGACTCAGGGTCCGGAACGTCAGGAAGAGAGGACGCAGGAGGAGACGGCAGAGGGACGCGCTGTGGAACAGAGGAAGGACGAAGTGCCATAGTGTGAGTGCCTGGCACAGGAGGAGGACGCGGACGCGGGACACGACGAGCACGGCGAGCCGTGCGAACAGGGGAGGCAGGACGAGACGCAGGCTCACGACGCTCGGTAAGGGAGGCTGGCTGCTCAGTGTAACGAGGCGGGGCAGGCAGCAGTGAGTCCTGAGGAAGGGCAGTGGCCGAAGGAAGACTAAGAACCTGACGGAGCACCGACTCAAGCTGGAGCTCGGACAGCTGCGGTGATGGCAAGAAAAACGGTCGCTGCTGCATAGGGTCTCCAGCTCCGAGGCCTCCAGCTCCAGCAGCTCCAGCGCCAGCGGCTCCAGCTCCAGCTCCAGCGCCTCCAGCTCCTGCGCCACTAGCTCCAACACCTCCAGCGCCAGCACCTCCAGCTCCAGCGCCTCCAGCTCCAGTAGCGACAGCGCAAGCGCCTCTAGCACCAGCGGCTCCAGCATCAGTACCTACAGCACCAGCTCCTCTAGCGCCAGTGGCTCGAGCTCAAGCGCCTCCAGCTCCTGCGCCACTAGCTCCAGCACCTCCAGCGCCAGCACCTCCAGCGCCTCCAGCTCGTGTAGCGACATAGCCAGCGCCTCCAGCACCAGCGGCTCCAGCACCAGTACCTCTAGCACCAGCTCCTCTAGCGCCAGTGTCTCCAGCTCCAGCGCCTCCAGCCCTTGCACCACCAGCTCCAGCACCTCCAACGCCAGCACCTCCTGCTCCATCGGGCCCACCTACCGTTGTGGTTACTGAGCTGCCCCACGTGTTGCCTGCGCTGCGCCGCCCGCGCGCGCCTTGCCGTGCCTGCGCTGCGCTGCCCGCGCGCGCCTTGCCTTGCCTGCACCTTGCCTTGCCTTGCCTGCGCCGCGCCTTGCCTTGCCTGCGCCTTGCCTTGCCTTGCCTGCGCTGCGCTGCCCGCGCGCGCACGCCCTGCCCTGCCCCGCGTTGCGCTGCCCCGCGCACGCCGTGCCCTGCCCCGCGTTGCGCTACCCCACGCACGCTCTGCTCTGCCTGGCGTCGCGCGCCCCTGCAGCCCGTCGCGTCGCCCGTCCGCCCTGCCTGCCTGTCGCGTCGCCCGTACGGGCTGTCCCAGCCCGTCGCGTCGCCCGTACGGGCTGCCTGCCCGTCGCGTCGCCCGTACGGGCTGTCCCAGCCCGTCGCGTCGCCCGTACGGGCTGCCTGCCCGTCGCGTCCCTCGTACGGGCTGTCCCAGCCTGTCGCGTCGCCCGTACGGGCTGCCTGCCCGTCGCGTCGCCTGTACGGGCTGTCCCAGCCCGTCGCGTCGCCCGTACGGGCTGCCTGCCCGTCGCGTCAACCGTCCGCCTCGCAGCCCGCGCGTCGCGCCTCTGCTGCCGCGCGCGGCGCGCTCTGCTGCAGCCTCGCGCCGCCCAGGCCGAGACGAGCCGCCCTACCCGACCCGATCCGCCCTCCTGCTCGTGCTACTACTGCTGCTGGTGGAGGTGCTGCTAGGAGTGCTGGAGGTGCTGCAGCCTAGCCTCACCGGGCCGCTCTACTGCTCTTACTGCTGTTGCTGCTGCTCGTGCTGCTGTCTTCCCTCCGTACCGCCCTCCTCCTCGCACGCCTCCTTGCTTACCCGCTATGACTTCCCTTCGTAGTAGCGGTGGGAGTGGTGGCGGCGGCGGTGGCGGCAGTGGGAGTGGTGGCGGCGACCATAGTTGCAGTCGCGGTGGAGTTGTTTAGTGCGGAGTTTTTGGCGGTGGCAAGATCCAGCTGCAACGGCGTCCGAGCCCGACCCTTCCACCCCAGCAGCTTCATGCGTGGTACGCTCAGCGTTGTGCGTCTCGGAGAGGTGGCGGCGGCCGTAGTAGTCGTAGTCGTGGTGGAGCTGGTCAGTGCGGAGTCTCTGGCGGTGGCCAGATGCAGCTGCAGTGGCGCCCGCGCGAGACCCTTACGCCCCGGCAGCTGCATGAGTGGTACGCTCAGAGTTGGGGGTGTAGGACTACTGCTCGCTGCCCGTACGTTATTCGCACAGGTGATCGAGCTGGTCAGACTTGCGGGACAGTTAGTCACACAGAGTCCCGCTGCTTCTCCCGTCTGAGCGACGCTTGGCGAGCACGGTTTGGCGACGAGACTGAGCTACCCCTCTGGCTAGAGCTGCTTCAGGACGGAGAAAATTTATTTGCCTTAGACTATGACACTATCCTTACTTTCATGTATGTTTGGACTGGCACTTCTGAGGGTGACTGTTACCTGTGTGTGCCCCCTGACCCTGGTATAGCGGCTGCTGCTCTAGGTGCTAGTGAGTCTGCTCTCTCTGGTACTGCACCTGCTGAGGCCTTGCACACCTTTACACTTGACTCTGGTGCTTCCCGCTGTTTCTTTCGCGACAGTACCACGGTCACACCCCTCCCTGCACCTGTCCCTGTCTCACTGGCTGACCCCTCTGGGGGCCCAGTGCTTGCACGGTCTACCACTGTGCTTCCGTGTCCGGCGGTCCCGTCTGGTGAGCTGTCTGGTCTCCACCTCCCCTCGTTCTCTATGAACTTGGTGAGCACCGCCGTCCTTCAGGATCACTGGGTTGACACCTTTACTCCTGGAGGACAGCGGGTGACACACTGCACGTGCTCTCGGACCGGCCGCCACCTGGCCACGTTCACACGTGCGCCTGGGTCCAGTCTGTACACCCTCACCACTGTGTCGCGTCACGCCACTTTGTCTCCTCAGCTGTACGCGTCTGCTCAGGTAGCTACCCAGTGTGAGTGTCGTCGCCTGTCGCACGACACTCTCCTGTGGCACCACCGCCTTGGTCACCCCTCCCTGCCTCGCCTTCGTGGCATGCACTCTCGCTCCCTAGTCTCTGGTCTTCCCAGGTCTCTGCCTGCCCTCCCTCCCTCGCCTGCGCCGCCCTGCATTCCTTGCGTCGAGGGGCGGCAGCGCGCCGCTCCTCACTCCTCCTCGTTCCCTCCCACAGAGGCTCCGCTGCAGACTCTCCACATGGACGTGTGGGGCCCAGCCCGCGTCCAGGGACAGGGCCGCGAGCGGTACTTCCTGCTGGTTGTCGACAATAACACGCGTTACACCACAGTCTTCCCCTTTGGCGCTGTTCGTCTCCAGCTCCGCGAGCGGTTTGAGCGGGACTTTCCTGTCTTGCGTCTGCACTCTGACAGAGGTGGTGAGTTCACCTCCGACCTCTTGCGAGCCTTCTGTGAGGAGCACGACATCACCCAGTCGTTCACGCTTCCGGCCTCTCCGCAGCAGAATGGGGTTGCTGAGCGCCGCATTGGCTTAGTCATGGAGGTCGCTCGTACCTCCATGATCCATGCGGCGGCTCCCCATTTTCTGTGGTTGAAGGCTGCAGAGGATGAAGGGGTTGAAGCCGAGGAGCAGCAGCAATTTCAGTCCTTGGTGGGCAGCCTCTTATACGCAGCAGTTCACACGAGGCCCGACATCTCTTTCTCGGTTGGGCAGCTGGCTAGGGTGGTGCAGAATCCATCTGAGGAGCAGGTGGATGCAGCTGAGCGTGTAGTGAAGTACCTGAACTCTCACCCAAGCATTGGAGTTCAATACTCCGCATCTGCACAGGTGAAGCAGAAAGGGGTGGAGGTGCTGAAAGAGAAGGGAGAGAGGCTTGGAGAAGGCAAGCTCTTTCTAACTTGCTTTACCGATGCTACATGGGCTTCTGAGAAGGAGGATTCCTCATCTGTGGGAGGATACATCTGCGTAGTTGGGGGAGGACCTGTTAGTTGGAGGTCCAAGAAGCAGACGGAGACGGCACTCTCTTCCGTAGAATCAGAGTACATAGCGATGTTCCATGGGGTGAAGGAGGTGATTTGGCTGAGGAGGCTGTTAGAGGAGATTGGCCAGGAGCAAAAAGTTGCTACGCCGCTGTTTTGTGATAGCAAGGGGGCTCTTGGGATGGCCAGGAACGCTGTGCTTCATGGGCTGAACAAGCACATGCGTATCAAGTGGCACTGGCTGCGTAAGGAGGTGAAGAGGGGGACGGTGAATCCGATCTACATCAAGACTCACCAGCAGCCAGCAGACTTCCTCACCAAGAGGCTTGCGGATGAGCCTCATTGGCGTTGTGTGCGCATGAGTGGAATGAGCATGAACTAGCATGGAATGATGGGGATGCAGCCGGCAGGCTGAGGGGGAGTGTGTTGGGTGCAAATGCACATTGCACGACATCCTGCCGTCTGTTTGTACGAGTATGCGTGTGCAAATGCATTTGCGTGTGAATGGTGTGTTCGTGTGTTTGTTTGCTTTCGCAATTTTCGCTTGATGCATTTGCAGGTACTCGTGCAATGTGCGCTTCGGCACAACATTGTACGCGCTATGAACAGTGCAAGCAGAAAGGACGAGCTCGCAAAGGAACCCAAGATGGAAGCTTTGCAGTTCGGTTGAATTGATTGCGCAGATTCAGTTCTATCCAACTTGAAATTGTACTGTATTGTTTGGTTGACTATAGTAGCAGGGCAGGCACTATAGGGGTACAATTTAGGTGAAGGTTGGATGTTGTTTGTCTGTATCTGCATGCTACAAGGCCAGGGGAAACCAGCGGAACCAGCATTTGGCTGGTTGGGCAAAGACAAAACAGGTTCTGTTTTTAGAACCTGAACCTGGTTGTTGTTTTCCCAGGTTGGAAAAACAGAACCAGAGGTTGTTTACCAACCTACCACCTGCTATTTTGTCCAGCCAGGTTGGTTCTGTTGCTTGGAATTATTTGGGATCATCCCTGGTTGTTCCCAGGTTGATTCCCAAGGTCCTTGCTAGCTAGAACTATATATTCCTTTTCTGTTTGTACCTGAATATAGTCAAATTGATTCAAGCGAATTCCTTCCTCGCTGGAATTTCGTTTCTGCGCTATTCGACGGCGGAATGCTACCCGAGTCAACGCTAGTATGCTAGCACTCCAACACTAGGCAAACGCTGTCCGAGCCATAACTTAGTAATGGCAAAACTTTTCGCGAGGCAACTTGGCTCATTTTAAAGCTCTTGGACCGAGCTTCGATATAGCGAATTCTCAGCTTAATCCGATCGACGGTCTGCACGGCACGCTGCGCGACGTTCAAGGTACTCTTGCTGTTTTGACTAAGTCCTTCTTGATCCCTCTCTCTACAAACTCGGACCAGAGGATAGGGGCTGGTCTTGTACCAGGCACCCAGGGACCCTTGGAGGTGACCCGGAGGAGAGGTTTTAAGTTTGATTAAGTCCTAATAGCTTGAGTTTATTAGGCCCTTACACCAACAAGCTGGTATCAGAGCTGCGTTATAGTGATCCTCGTTATAGGTAGCTATGGCGGGCAACACCTCGGCGGGAGCTGGTGAATCTTCAGCCCAAGATCGTAGCGGCAGCCAAGATTCTGGTCTTTCAGCGCCAAGGGGAGCGCGAACAAACCAGGGCTCGCTTGTCAAGGAGGTGCTGAAGAATTTCACCGTCGAGAAGTTCAATGGTGAGGGCTATGATGATTGGGCCTGGAAAATGCAATTATATTTCCGTCAGATCGGTTTGCTGAAACTAATGATTGGGGAGGAGCCTAGACCGAGTGACCCCACGCTGCAGGAAGATTGGGACGAGCGCTCCTCGGCTGGCTACTATTTGATGTCGCAGAGTTTGGAGCTGAACCAGCGTCACCACGTCATGCACCTGCTGCCGGAGGTTGAATGCGGTCCGAAGGCGTGGACCGTGTTGAAGGAGCTGCACGCCCCGACCTCCGTTGTCGCAACGTTGATGCTGGAGAGGGAGCTGTCCGCGTTGCGCCTGAGCGAGGGAGAGCCGGTGCAACCAGTCCT